TCCTGCTGCCTGCCAGGCGGAGGTTGTATAATACCTGCTCCGGAGTGCATAGTAGAGTGAGGGAAGAAAAGGTGAGGCCAACATTCAATTTCCCTGCTCTGCAGGCCACTCCTCTCACCGGTTTTCAAGGATTAGGATGCTAGGAGCAGTGGGCCATGGGGCCTGATACCCTTCCCCCACCTTTGTTCACTGGGCCGGGAGGGACAATAAACCCGCAGGCAGGAGACACTGAGGGCTTGCTTAGAGATTTCTTAGGCCGCTTTTTGAAACACTTGAAGGAGCTGGTCCAAGCTATTGTTATAGTAAAATGGAGAGCGGAACTATTCTCCTTTTGCGGGAAAAGAAGAAAAGGTAAAAGAAAGAAAACCCACCCTCCCAGCAACTTCAGGAGGCTCCCTGGCTCTGGCCATTGCCATGGTAACCCCTCTGTTTGCATCTCCTTTGTCTTTCTGCACTTGTTGGGCATCCTGGCCTCTCAGGGTTGGGCCCAAGACCTGGGAAACACTTAGGCCCCAAAGGAGAAGGAGCGCACAGCCACCAGCTCCGGATGGTTTGACTCTGAGAGGGGCCAAGTCCCAGCAGAGGGAGAGTTCAGCTTATTTGTGCAACGAAAGTGGAGAGGTGAAGGCGTAGGTGCTGGTAATCCATTTTAACGTTGTCCCCAGAGCTCGCCATGAAACCCTCAGCACCCGAGAGTGGAAAAGCTTAGAGGCGTGGCCAGCCCCGAGGAAGACCAACGGGTGCCAGGACCAAGTGCAGAGGGAAAAGCAGGGTGGGCCCACAGAACTGCACGGTTGCAGGAGGGAGGGAGAGTTTACTGGCTCCAACATGACTCACATCTGCTCTGGCTTTATCCATTGTTTCCCCAGGAAGCCCCAAGTGTTATGCCACCCAGGACACAGCTGGGACCCCTGGGCCTGTGCGTCAAGGCCAGGAATAAAGATTCTATCATTAAAAGCAGCCAGGCTGGCCCGGCCAGTGTGGTTCAGTGGTTGAGTGTTGACCTATGAACGAGGCGGTCACAGTGTGATTCCCAGTCAGGGCACATGCCTGGGTTGCTGGCTCGATCCCAAGTAGGGGGCATGCAGGAGGTATCTGGTCAATGATTCTCTCTCATCATTGATGTTTCTACCTCTCTCTCCCTCTCCCTTCCTCTCTGAAATTAGGAAAAATATATTTTTAAAAAAATTAAAAAGCAGCCAGTCTGTGTGGCTGATGGTGCAGGAAACTTGGGACCATCCAGGCTTTTGTGGGGCTCATAGCAATCAGGCCCATCGCCTGGGTAGAGAAGCAGACCCTGAAGGAGAGGCTGCCAGGGAGCAGAAGCGGCCGGGGCTCCTCCTGGCTCACTCTGCCTTTGCTGAGCTCTCCTTTTCGGGGGGCCTGAGGGGCATTTAAAACACAAAAGCCAGATTGCTTTGAACAGGACAGAAGATAATGGCTTACTTTCTCAGCAGGACAGAATTATTTTTTTACATTGTTTTTATTTTTCAATCAGGATCAGGTATCGCAGGTTGAATTTGGATTCTGGGGCTGTCCTCTGCTAGTTTAGGTTCAAGTGAGCCACATACACCTTGGGATGGAGATGGGGAGCCTAAGGAGAGCCCGGGTCCCTGTGATAGATCCAGAGAAGGTGCTGGAAACAAAGCTAGT